AGAAACAAATACAAAGTCGTTTAGCTTTCTACTCCATTTAAGATTTACATTTCACTAAAGCAGGATATAATCTTTTGTTCCCACATTATTTGAGTATCTTTACGACCAGCAACAAAGTACCTAGTGCATGTGTCATATCTTCTAAACCAAATACAACCACCTTGTACATAAGCAGTAACATATGTTAGCTGTCACGGTAGCCTAGCGGTCTAAGGCATGCAATGTCTTCCCCCTCTCGGAAAAGGCTGACATGGGTGGATCGTGGGTGGATCGTGGGTGGATCGTAGATGTTCGGTGTTTGTGTGTGTTTTCTGTGTTTGTGTACATGTAGAGGCCTTGCGACGACCTGATGACCCACACAAAGAGTTCTACCGAATGTCTAAGATCTGATAAACAGAAGTGAAACAGAGACTTTCATGGAGGTAGGCCAAGGCCAAAATTTGGGCTGTAACACCAAAGGGGGGGGGGAAGTGTGTTAGAGCATTAACATAACAGTGCCTTTGTATTCGGGACACTAACGTGTGTTACGTTCTGCACATTTACATTACAAGCATACAGCTGAGCATCGAATTTTTATATTATTATATTTAAGCATCCTGTTACACTCTACACAATGTATGACACAAACTCCGTCCTAAGGGCAACAATGTATTGTAGTTCTTTTGTCATCTTTTCTTCTACACTACATGTTTCGGCCGTAAATGGCCATCATCAGGTGTATTTCTCTCACGTAGCTGTTACACTGCACGTAGTTTAAAATTTAAAAACACTAGCTTTCTTAATTGTTCATTTCTCCGTTGTCAATTTGATTTTTGAATTTTTGTATTTCTAAAATCTTCAATTCAAATTTAAAAATAAAAAAAAATAAATTTAAATTGAAGATTTTAAAAATACCAAAATTCAAAAATCAAATTGACGTATGTAAACTAACAAAGATTTTATACATATCTGACAAATATCAGCAAGGGAATTCTGATATATCGGGACCTATTAACAACGGAGAAATGAAGAATTCAGAAAGCTGGTGTTCTAAATTTTTAAACTACGCGCAGTGTAACAGCTACGTGAGAGAAATACACCTGAGGATGGCCATTTACGGCCGAAACATGTAGTGTAGAAGAAAAGAAGACAAAAGAACTACAATAAATTGTTGCACTTAGGACAGAGTTTGTGTCATACACTGTATTTTTATATATTTATTATTAACTACCTAATTATGAACATGTTCTCCTGAGCATTTTACTACTTAAAATAATCCTAATCCAGAAATTGACACATCGCTGGTTTGTGTCACTATATTCGTAAACTTATTGAAGAAATGAAATTTATTATTCGCACATATGATGAATGCATGTTATGAAATAGTCGAGGAAGCTGTAAGATTCTACAGTAATTTCTATATGCAGAGTAATATAGAGGTTTATGTATGGGAAATTCGTAACAGAAATGTAACCAGCAAATTCTTCGAAAATGTAGCAACTTTCAAGCTTGAGGAATGGAAGCAGCAAATCAAAATGTCGTTCAGGAATATATTAAGGGCACATGCACCATATTGTTGTTTCCGTCTTGTGTTTAAAAACATAAACTATGAGAGAGGCATATACAGAGCCGTTAATAAGCATTCGTCTGTAGTTAAGGAATGAAGTTGAAAAGGGTCCCATAATTAAAATATCACTGTTAAACACAGAATTAACACAGGTCTGTGGCCCACGCGGGTGTCGCCATTGCCACACATTTAGACTGGGTCAGTATGCACTGCACAAGCAACACTACCACGATCATCACCGACTGTAGTCCAGTGTTGCCAAGCTGACAACTGTTCATGATTCTGTACCACACAAGGTTTCACTACCGGACGAGAGATCGGAACTCGACTTGCTGACCTCAAAACGAGAATGCTGCTGTGAGGTCACGTGCACGCGCAGATGAAAGATGATGCGACCCGTGAGTCCCCCGTAGTTCACATAAATTTCCAAGCCATTTGAAGATTCTATGGTACAGTCAACTTCAATTTTCATGCACATCTGTGGTTATGAGGAATTCTATCTTCAGTTACTTGTTTGATGTTGGTTCCTAGCTTAGCTTATTCTAGGACAGCGTCCATGTATTTATCGTCCGTCAATATTGCAACATTTGTTTATTCACTACTTAATTTTAATTTTAGTTAAATATTATAGACTTCCACACTACATGTTTCGGTCCCAAACGGCCATATTCAGGTGTCTTGATATGTTACAAATATTTCATTAAATTATGTTAATTTGTATATTATTAATATTAATATTTGTAACATATCAAGACACCTGAATATGGCCGTTTTGGACTGAAACATGTAGTGTGGAAGTCTATAATGTTAAACTAAAATTAAAATTAAGTAGTGAATAAACAAATGCTGCAATATTGACGGACGATAAATACATTGCCATTGAGTTAAACAATTGCAACAGGATGCTGAAATACAGAATTATTCTAAGACCTTGAACATAGAGACCACATGTTCCTCCGAAACGTCGATTGACTTCATGCGGACTACACGGCGTTATATCTCAGACTATTTATGTGTTCAATTTTAAATTCTAAATAACGAAACAAAATCGCGGAAAATTACAAGAAATATATTTCTTCCACGACAAGAGATACTATTACTTAAAGCGGTGTACCCTGTGTCTGTCTGTGTATGGCTCTACAGTCTTTTTGTTGGACCTTGGCCTCTTTTTCAGTTTCTTAATCCTATACACAGCCAGTAGGAACACTTGGACGAGTGATCAGCTCGTCGCAAGGCCATTACCCGTACACAGAACAACACAAACACAGAATAAACGGACATAAGACATCCATGCTTTTAGTGTGATTTGAACCCACGATCCCAGTGTTCGAGCAATCGAAGATAGTTCATGCTTTAGACCAGCAGTGTCAAACATGTGGCCCCCATAGCCACAAAGTGCGGCCCCTCAACTTTTAGAGCTAATTGATATTAAAATCAATATTAAAATTTTAGTAGAAATATTTTTTGTAAAGACAACTTTCCAACAGACCAAAGAAGTCTCACGCAGAGATAAATTAGCAGGCTCCAGGAAATTCAATGTTTTGCTATTTCTAACACAATTTCTTGTGTAATCTCTATTTTTACATATTGAAAAGTTGTTTGATACTTGTCTAGAATGGCATTCTCTTGCATTTTAGAACTGTAAGATATGTGACTTTAGGTAATTATATTGAAAATATTCCTAAATAATAAATATAATTAAATTTCCTTGTATCAAAATCTAATGTATATTTATATTTTGAAGTGCGGCCCTGGAGTATTATTTATAGGGCTGAGGTGGCCCTCTCTACAAGTTGAGTTTGACATGCCTGCTTTAGACAGTGCGGCCCCTGTTATCTGCTCTGTGTACGCTCTGCTAGTTTTAAATATTCTAAGTTAAGTAAATGTGATATTACAACAGCATTTTTTTTTTTTCCACATATTTCAACCAACACTTTAGGAAGAGTTGACTGTTGTGTCTGTCCAATCCTTAGTACATATTCACACACAGACGAGAGATGAGTTAATATGCAAGAATGGGTTATCACAAGGGCCCGGATTTTGTTGACATGTCATCTTTTTTTCCTTGTATCCTATGAGATGCTCTTAAATATATAAATCTCGGATATGTAAATTGTATAGTTTTTGTCATTTTTTGACATTTTTAGGTTTAAGGTCTTTTTTATTTTGGAGGCAATTTTTTGGTAAATTTTTGGACTTTTAAGGGCATTTCTTGTCATTTTTGGCCATTTTAGGGAATTTTTCTTCATATGTTTTCTGAAATGTGACTAACATGGAAGCGAAGTGTTCTTTCTTTTCTCCATTAGGTCACTTTTCTGGATTGTTTCGGTCATTTTATAGGTCATTTTTTAAATATTTTCAGGTCATCAAAATCCGGGCCCTGGTTATCACACAGTATCAACACCGTTAACTAAGGAGTATTAGTATTATGAATTAAACATAATGTGAGTATACAAGGCCCATTATTTATATCTTACTAGGAGTACGCGCTCAGACGTTTTCCGGAAACCTGTTCACTCCGTCTGAAGCTTGTCACGATGTTTACAGCCTTCCCAACAAATCCATTCGGAGTTCGCAGATCGAAAATCTTACTTGTTTGCCTAATTCTACTTCTCATCTTTTACATACTGTAAGAATATGGAACCAAGTGACTAAAGTTGACACTAACTTCGCCGACAAGCGGCGGTCGCTCGGTCGGTATAGTTCGCTTGCGGACTAAAACCTGTTATCTTTTGTTTGTTGAAGCAACAACAAAACGGCTTGAAGACCAGTCAAGCCGAGGGTGTGTGGCCGAAGTAATGGAATGACTGGAGGAGACGCTCTGACAAGTTAAACCCATTTGCTGAGGGAAATTATCGAATGCATCAGATATAATTAGGTATATTAATAAACAAATAGAAATTTGTCGATATTTAATTAATAGCCCTTTTTATGTGGAAAAATTTATCATAGTGGCCGCGCGGTCTAAGGCCTTAACTGTCTTAGCTTGCTCGAACGCTGGAATCGTGGGTTCGAATCCCACTCAAGGCATGGAAATCTGTCTGCGTTTATTCTGTGTTTGTGTAGGTAGCGGCCTTGCGACGGGCTGATCCATGGTACGAGAAGTCCTACTGACTGTCTTAGGGTTAAGAAACTGAACTGAAACAAAGCGTTTCAGGAATGTCCTATGCCCCAAAGTGAGAGCGACAGGAAAGATAGACAGAATATCTGCAAGAACGACACATGCTATGCCGGGAAAGCTAGTTTCAATATATTACATTTGGCTAATATGACATAAATAGGCCTGTGTTTTCTTAGGTAAGCCTGCAGGAAGTTTGACTGTCCAGACAAGTTCTGGGATAGTATCTTGGTTACGCCACGATTGCTTCCTCCCGAATCCTTTCCAATTCGTGATACAGCAATTACCCTGTGTCACTCTGACGTACTTGCAAGGAAGTTGAGGACAGCTACTCACCACGTCAATGAGTTGCGACAGGCGGAGCCCCATCTTGACGGTGAGGCGGTCCGAGTTGTTGCCCACTGGCCGGATGAGCCGATTGTAGTTGCTCAGCAGGTCGTCGTACAGCCGCTTCGCTTCCGGGTTGGCCACGGTTCCCCCGATCACCGACAGAAGGAGCGCCAAAAGAACGCTCCCCATCTTAGGCCTAGTCCACCCCTGAAACGGAACGGCATAAACGTAAGGCGAAGGATACGTACCCCTCTTGAAAATAAAGATTTAGGATTTGCTCTTAGCTGCTTAATGTCATGAGCCAGAGATATCTCTTTCTACAAAGTGACAGGCTACGGGCTGGTAGAAAGGGGTTTAATTCCCAGTAGGGGCAAGGATTATTCTCTTCAGAACATCTTCAGAGAAGCCAAGGATTTACCAGCCTTAAATACAATGCGCATTAGTGCATCTCTCATTCTTCCATCGTCCTTATCAATATATTAATCGTTAAGGATCAAACTTAACAAGCGGAATGGAGCACCATCGTGTAATTGTGTATTCTTATGGCATAAACAGCGTTTCAGTTAGACTCTCAGTTAAATATACACCCGATCCTGGTGACATTTTTGCACAGAATAAATCATGTAACGTTCTACGAGTGAATTCTAAAGTGTTCTGACAATGATGGGTGACACAGAATTCCTGGAGTTTTTTTTACTTTTCCCATTGTCCGGAATTTTAGGTAATAGATGACACGACGTTTCGGAAACCCATCGTCCGGAATTTTAGGTAATAGATGACACGACGTTTCGGAAACTTTATATGTTTCCGTCTTCAGGTGAGAAAAGAAGACACCTACTCAGTTGGGCCCCTTAGAAAGAGCTAATCTCAATCACTAGCCACTGAGTAGGTGCTTTCCTTTCTCACCTGAAGACGGAAACAGATCAACTTTCCGAAACGTCGTGTCATCTATTACCTAAAATTCCGGACGATGGAAAAAGTAAAAAACCCCAGTAAGTCTGTGTTCTACGAGTGGTCCAAAATATTGAATCACATAAAAACTAAGTGGAAATAAATTAATTTTTTTAATGTAATAGTCCACGCTGTTATATCAATTTCAATTTTATCGTATCAGCCATTATCGGCTCCACTGAGCCACGGAGTGTACTAATCACATGAGCAGAAATAACACGCTTCCGAAATACAGTATATTATAACAGAGAGAACATGGGTGAATTTCTGATGTAATTATTATTGCATTCATTTTTATATTGGTTCGCGATCACGAAATCATTAGCTCCATCACAAGACCCAGTTTCGATATTGCGGAATTATCCAATCTGAATGACAGTGTTTACATTCACAACAGGATTGTAATAGCTTATACACTTCTTCCTCTGAGTGTACTTGCGCTTGTGATTATTACAAGTTGATTGTTTCATTTCACTTTTAGCGATTAAGTGGGAGGAATGCAATTATTTCCTACATGGTTTGTATATATCTTAGCGATAGATTCAAGTCATTATTCTTTTGATATATTGGGTTTTTGGACTTTATCCATCGTCCTGGTTTTTAAGATAACAAATAAAAACACGACGTTTCGGAAACTGGATCTGTTTCCGTCCTCAGGTGAAGGAAAACACCTATTCTGTTGGGTCCGTTAGAAAGAGCTAGCCTCACTGGACTGGTCCAGTGAGGTCTAACGGACCCAACAGAATAGGTGTTTTCCTTCACCTGAGGACGGAAACAGATCCAGTTTCCGAAACGTCGTGTTTTTATTTGTTATCTTAAAAACCAGGACGATGGATAAAGTCCAAAAACCCAATATATCAGTGTGTTATACACCATCGTCAGAATCCTATAGTAACTACATTATTCTTTTCTTTATTATGTATTTTTATAAGTGCAGCGCAGTAAGAAGGCGAAACCATAGTTCATATCACTCGTTAAATTAAATTTAAATAATTTTCTTGCATTAGTATTTATACAATAAAAAATTCATTCGCAGATGTAGAGTAAGTGACGAAATATTATTTATAGGTGAGTATGGTTTCGCTGCCCTTACCAATTTTATTTCATAATTTACTTACGGTTTGTGTAAAGACGTTGCCAGTAGTCCAGTCTACACAGCCTCGAATCTTAGGATCGTTAGCAAACGAGCCAGACAGGATATGGATCGAAGCTACCCCATTCTCGCTTGTGGTAATATCTCAGCATACGCCCGCAGGGGAGGTAGGGTAATAACGGAAACCCGCGTTAGGTAAGCCGAAGGCCCGCCACAGCTCAGGCGGTTAGTCGCCGGCTTCCCACAGCGGTGACCCGGGTTCAAGCTCGGGTCAGGTCACGTGGGATTTATGGTGGACAAAGTGGTACTGGGGCAAGTTTTCTCCGAGTACTTCGGTTTCCGTTGCCAATTCCCATTCCACCAATTGCTTCACAATCATCATCATCATCATATCATCTAACACCTGAGGTTGGTACAATACGCCAAACAGTGGCCGCAGCACCAAGTGGACTCAGTCTCAATCCATAAGAATATAAAAAGAGATTATTTTTTATTTTTTTTATTGCTAGTGGGGTGGGACTAAGTCCCTTGTACTGCGGCCACTTCTGGCCTATTGTACCAACCCCAGAAGATAGGTGAGGGTGATGGTGGAACATTTGGTGGAATGAAGATTGGCAGGGGAAACGGAAGAACTCGGAGGAAACATGCCCCAGCGCCACTTTGTTCACCACAAATCCCACTTGACTAGACCCGGGATCGAACCCGGGCCGTCGCGGTGGAAAGCGAGCGACTAACTTCTTGAGCTATGACGCGGCCTAAAAAAAGACTAAGTCGATCTCCTGACATATCTGAACCAGTGACCTCCCGAACAGGAAATACCAGTGTCACTTATTTTAATTGGATCTTCAGTCCTTATTTCATGTTCCAGTACTGGCTCTGACCAGACAGGTTAACCGCGAAACACGAGTAGGCCCACCCTCTAGTCTCAGCGAGAACCTCGTCACTGCAACGGACGTTACCAAAGCTAAGAATATCTCTTCATCATTCCAGATATCCGTAGTAACTAAGTAACGCTGACTTCATGTCCTCCCAGAGAATATAATGGTCGCTCAGATGGTGGAGATCTTCCTGTCTCATTTTCCGGACGACAGAGTTCATTAACATTTTCACAAGAGCCTCCAAGTCTGAAGTTCTGCGTAATATTTTGGCTGACAAGGGTGAAGGGTTGTTAGCTCCCCTCCAAACATCTGAACTCAACGACTGCATTTTGTGGGCTCTCCGAGAATATTTACTGAGAATACTGGCAGCTAGTCTGAATCTCCTCTGTCAGCAACCTGAAGATGCGTCTTGCCGTGGTGATAAGGGGCCCGAATATTACACACAGTCCGTATTAAAATACTCATTCGCTCTCTCATGCAACTGAGTCCTCCATGAAAAGCCGCCCATTGTGCAGCTATTCAAGAACTTCCCAACATTTTATGGAACCCGAAGGTTCATCACCGTGTTCACAAGAGCCCTCCACTGGTCCCTATCCTGAACCATATCAGTGCAATCCATACCATCCCATCCTATCTCTCTAATATCCATTTTAATATTGTCCACCCACCTACGCCTTGGTCTTTCCAGTGGTCTCCTTCCTTTCGGCTTTCCCACCAATATCCTACATGCATTCTTTCTCTCCCCCAATCATGCTACATGCCCTATCCATCTCATCCTTCTTACTTGATCATTCTACTTATACTTGGAGAAGAGTACAAGTTATGAAGCTCCTCATTATGCAGTTTCTCCAACCTCCTCTCACTTCATCTCTCTTCGGTCCAAATATTCTCAAACACCCTCAGTCTATATTCCTCCCTTAATGTCAGAGATAAGGTTTCACACCCATACAGCAGGTGGCTATGTTAAATTTCATGTTAAATGTAGTCTGGGTTATCCGGTCTTCATTTCGAATAGATAAATAACACTTTTAATCATGAGCTGCTTATACATTTATTGATTATACATAGCTATATACATATGGATGGACGTTTAAACAAATCAGTGGCATGTTAGTTACAGGAGCCTGTTTTGAATTCTCATTTTGTCTAAAATTATCTTAATTACGCGAACTAATTAATCGACAATGGCTCCAACGTTGACTGAACACGACTGATGTTATTTACAGGTAAACAGGGTGCAAAGGGAGTTAGAATGACAGGGCTAATATTGGCTGGTTTGTTGAAACTCAATGCCGTTGTATTTAAGGGTTACGGCCCAGTGAACTGACCGTCTGTAGAAACTGGAATGAAACAAGGAATACTTGCAGACTTTTCTAATGGAGAACTGCTGGTGACCGCCTCTGTGGTCTATTGCTCAGAGTTCCTGGCTATAGATCCAGAGTTCCGGGTTAGATTCCCGGATTTTCTTAGAATTAATGGGTCTGGAACGGGGTCCACTCAGCTTCGTGAGGATAATTGAGGAGCTATTTCAACGAAATAACGGCTCCGGTCTAGAAAACCGAGATTGACAGCCGTGGGGGTTCGTTGCCCTGACCACACGACACCGCTGAAGTTGGCACTAACTTCGCCTACAAGCGGCGTTCGCTCGGTCAGTATAGTTCTCTTGCGGACTTAAGCCACTGATTTTTGTTTGCTGCTGGTGGTATGGCCAGTGTAAGACTATGGAAGGACAGTGGAAGAGCAACGTATCTATTTCTTGGGTCAACGCAAGACAAACAAGTGAAAAAGATGAAACTGATTGTTGAGAGAAGGAAAATGGCAAATTTAGATACGTCAGTTTTAACAGATATACTTGCTTACAATATTATATTTAAGCATCCTATTACACTCACACAATATATATGAGACAAACTCCGTCTTAAGTGCAACAATTTAATTGTAGTTCTTTCTTCTTCCCTTCCTCTACACTACATGTTTCGGCCCTAAATGGCCATCATCAGGTGTGTATTCTTACGTAGCTACTACACTGCCCGTAGTTTAAAATCTAAAATCACCAGTCTTTCCAATTGTATGTATGTATAAAATCTTTGTTAACCTACACGCGTCAATTTATTTCTAAAATTGGCACTTTTTTAAAACTTCAATTCAATTTAAAATGTCTATAAATTTTCTGTTCTTTTTCTTTTTCCAAATTTTTTAAAAAATTAAAATTTTCTCTGGGTACACGCCCTATGTCTATAGTTCTGCAGAGGCCACTTCTTGTTTTATCGCCGCTCAGGTATTGT